GAGGACCCTTTGGGCGGAAACGACTGTGTTATCTTGCATTCCTCATTCGCATTAGAGACAGACAAGTTTTTTTATTTGAAAAAGAGCTCTAGAAGTTCAGTCGGTATTCTCTGATCTCTTAATTAAGATATTTAGAAATCGATATTCGTGAGACTCGCCCAATCTAGTAAATGGGCTTGAATCGGTAGTTTTCTTTCTTCCTTGTAATCAGTTTATGTTTCTGTGCTGCTTTATGGAAGCCAATGAAGAGAAGAGTCTCTAATAGAATCATTTGGTCATTATAAGTTTCTAATGCTTTTTTGGGTTTGTATAGGTGTCAAAGCTAAGCCAATTGAGCAAGCTTGCACGGGATAACAATACGGCTTGTAAAACTGTTGAAGCTGATCGACTGCATACCATGTTCCTTGCAATGGCAGATGCCAGGGCTGTCCTCATAAAACTGGCTGATCGATTGCATAATATGATGACATTAGATGCATTACCCTTGATTAAGCAACAGAGATTTGCTAAGGAAACTTTGGAGATATTCGCTCCCCTAGCCAATCGTATAGGGATCTATAGTTGGAAAGAGCAGCTAGAAAATCTCTGTTTTAAACATCTGAATCCAGATCAGCACAAAGAATTGTCCTCCAAACTTATGTCGTCCTTTGATGAAGCCATGATTGCTTCTGCTGTACAGAAATTGGAGCAAGCTCTCCAGGATGGAGCCGTAATATTTCATGGTCTATCAGGGCGGCACAAAAGTTTGTATAGCGCCTACTGCAAAATGCTGAAGTATGTTATCTCTCTCTCTCTCTCTCTCTCTCTCTCTCTCTCTCTCTCTCCAGCTAATGGAGCCATCCAGTCGAATCCCTACACTGATCAGCTGGGGGGACCTCTCTTTGTCGGGTCCATATGCAGCGCATTAATGGAGCCACCCCAAATTCAGAAGCTGGAGCAACATTATTAGTGGGGGTGTTAATCGAGCTGAGTTTTGCGAGTTTGGGCCCAAGACTGATGAGTTTATTTTTCTAAGTCTAAAATGTTTTTCAAGTTTTGCTTGTTTTGAACTCGAGCCAAGCTGGAGTAACTCGACTATTTTATATATAAACGTGCTGAACTTTGCGAGCTTGAGCCGATTCTTTTCTGCTCGCTTTTCTAAACAAGGTTAAAAAATTATTCGAGTTCAACTCGTTTAGAACACGAGTCGAGCCGAGTCATAGTAGCCTGTCTCGATTAACACCTAGCTGCACTACTAGCCCGTTATGGTTGTGTGGATCTCTATATGATATTTACAAAACCTTTAAATCTGTATCCTCTGTATTTTATCGAATGTCACCAATGTGATTATACCATTTTGAAGAGTTTGTGGTATTTAAATATTTTGTAGGAAGAAGCTGACCATGGATGAAATCCATGATCTTCATGGGTTACGATTGATCGTTGAAAATGAAGAAGAATGTTATAAAGCACTAAGAGTGGTTCATCAGTTATGGTCAGAAGTACCTGGGAGGTTCAAGGACTACATAAATCATCCCAAGTGTAATGGGTATGCCATATCTCAAAGCGAAGGTGCATCAGTTTATACATCATTATTCTTATTTTAAATTAAAACTCAATTTGTAGGTACCAGTCTTTACACACCGTGGTGATGGGTGAGGATATGGTTCCAATTGAAGTTCAGATTCGAACAAAGGAGATGCATTTACAAGCAGAGTATGGATTTGCAGCTCATTGGAGATACAAGGAAGGTGATTGTAAACACTCTTCCTTTGTTCTACAGATGGTTGAATGGGCACGTTGGGTTATCACGTGGCAGTGTGAAACAATGAACAAAGACCATTCTTCCATTGGCCACATAGACTCTGTGAAGCCACCCTGCACATTCCCTTCTCATTCTGAAGATTGCCCATATTCTTGTAAACCTCACTGTGGACCAGACGGACCTGTGTATGTCATCATGATCGAAAATGATAAGGTTTGTATGGGATTTTAGTGATTTGTATTTTCTTTGCCTTTAATTTAACTGGTAATGGATTGTTAGCAAGAAAAAAGGATAACCTGTTGGGTCCGCATGTGATATATCTAGTGAAATTATGTCTGTGGGGTAAAGGATCTTTCTGATGGGCTCAATTAAATATGATCTTTCTGATGCTAGAGTAATGCAACTTCCAATCAGATTGTAACTTTGAGCCGCCAGTTTCCTCCCAGCATATTTTTGTGGCTTTTTGTTGGACATGACAAATTATTGTAATCTTTGGGCCCATGGTCCAGTAATACTGACTAGACATGCAATTTGGTGTTGGGGTGTTGCAGATGTCAGTGCAGGAGTTCCCAGCAAACTCAANCGGACATGACAAATTATTGTAATCTTTGGGCCCATGGTCCAGTAATACTGACTAGACGTGCAATTTGGTGTTGGGGTGTTGCAGATGTCAGTGCAGGAGTTCCCAGCAAACTCAACCATGATGGATCTGTTGGAAAGAGCTGGTCAGGGAAGCTCTAGATGGACTCCATATGGATTTTCGGTGAAGGAAGAGCTGAGGCCAAGGAAAAACTGTGAGCCTGTTAGTGATCCTAACTGCAAGCTAAAAATGGGTGATGTGGTAGAATTAACTCCAACCATACCTGATAAGTCACTAACAGAGTACAGGGAAGAGATTCAGCGCATGTATGACCGAGGTCTAACTGTAACAGGCATGACGATGCCTGCCAGCAACAGCATGGTTGGGTGGAGAAGCTGACCCTTGGATGTTTTCCATCTTTGCAGTGTAGCATTTAGTGGCCAATTAGTTATTCGTTTATATATGATAAACATTTTTACAGACAGCTATGTAAATTTTGTTCTCGAATAATGACCAGCAAAAGGCAAAAAACTATATGAATTTTCAAAAACTATATGAATTTTAAATAAAATATGAATTTTTTTTTTGTCACCGACAAACACAAAATAACAAAAAAAAATTAGGCTAAATTTACGTAAATGAACAAGAATAAATCTCATAAAATTAGAAAGATTAAGTGAATTAATCATGTGACCAATTGAAAAGATACGTGCATAAAACGTGAGTGAAAAACGTAACTAATAATTACTAACTCAAAAAAGTGAGTAATTTTTAAACTTAATATTAAACAAAAACTTCATTTAGAATTGTCACTAATAACCTTAAAGTGTATCAAGCCACTTTTGATGGGCTACTTAAAAGATTTTGAGTAGTATAGATCAAGCAAGAGACACGAGACATAAACAGATGTGCAAATTTGCCAGATAAAAATGGTGTAATCTACAATTCTTATGCATTGTACCGTTAAACAATAACATATGTATGAAATAGTATATATGTAATGTTTCATATGTATTAGACATCTAAATTATCAAAAAAGAAAAATTATGTGGTANCGATAAGTCACTAACAGAGTACAGGGAAGAGATTCAACGCATGTATGACCGAGGTCTAACTGTAACAGGCACGACGATGCCTGCCAGCAACAGCATGGTTGGGTGGAGAAGCTGACCCTTGGATGTTTTCCATCTTTGCAGTGTAGCATTTAGTGGCCAATTAGTTATTCGTTTATATATGATAAACATTTTTACAGACAGCTATGTAAATTTTGTTCTCGAATAATGACCAGCAAAAGGCAAAAAACTATATGAATTTTCAAAAACTATATGAATTTTAAATAAAATATGAATTTTTTTTTTGTCACCGACAAACACAAAATAACAAAAAAAAATTAGGCTAAATTTACGTAAATGAACAAGAATAAATCTCATAAAATTAGAAAGATTAAGTGAATTAATCATGTGACCAATTGAAAAGATACGTGCATAAAACGTGAGTGAAAAACGTAACTAATAATTACTAACTCAAAAAAGTGAGTAATTTTTAAACTTAATATTAAACAAAAACTTCATTTAGAATTGTCACTAATAACCTTAAAGTGTATCAAGCCACTTTTGATGGGCTACTTAAAAGATTTTGAGTAGTATAGATCAAGCAAGAGACACGAGACATAAACAGATGTGCAAATTTGCCAGATAAAAATGGTGTAATCTACAATTCTTATGCATTGTACCGTTAAACAATAACATATGTATGAAATAGTATATATGTAATGTTTCATATGTATTAGACATCTAAATTATCAAAAAAGAAAAATTATGTGGTATCATATTATAATATTGAATATCTTAACTATCACACAATCTTGTAACGGTCCACATATGATTTTTTGACAAATTAAAACAAAATGCATAAAATATAGGACTAGCACATATATTATTTTTAATCTTTACGTGTCATTCAACGATCAATTTTTTCTCACTTAATCAGTTTTATGAACGAAGACTTGACAGTGAATGATTCATAGAGACTACAGTCGTTGGGAGATGTACAGACACTTTGATCATTTGATTGGGAGGAGACATATCAAGGTCGGGCCTAGGGGCCCAATTTAGAGGCATACTAAGGTCGAACATTAAATAGTGCCAAGAGCCCAAAAATATAAGGGCCCAATTTATTTTTCAGTCGTTAGTTCAAATTCATGTTCTAAAGTCTTTTTGAATGAATTAAGTTAAAAGACAATATATTTCACAAATATATGTAAAGCAAAACCCTAAAAATACAACAATATTTTTACAAGTCTATGTAAAATTTTCTAGAAGTCTTATAAAAAAATCTAAAAATAACAATTTTTCTCAAATTACTTTCGCTCTATTTTCATCCATTCTCACCGTCTCTCTTCAAGTCTTTTTCTCCCTCTCACTCTGCTTTTTATTCTTATTTCTCTGTAAAATATCTAATAATTATAAACTTTTATTTTTATTATCTTCCTATCTAATAATTATAAATTTTTATTTTTATTATCTTCCTAAAATATTGTTTTGTTTTAAACCTTAATTTGTGTTGGGCCGTCTAACTATCTACTATGCAATTTTGAAGATGCTAGCGAAAATAATTCTCATCCTTTTCTCCATCCGCCCCTACACACCATTCTCCCTTTCGTTGTGCACAAAGACATCAAATCCCAAATGCAGCCCATTTCTGTCCAGAGTGAAGCTTTTTCGAATTCGGAGCAATGCGAAGCTTTTTCGAATTTGGAGCAATGCGAGTTGGTTGTTGGAGATGAAATGGTGAAAGATCTTTCAGAGGAACCTGATGATGCTTCAAAGACACGCAAACCCACCCAGGAAAATCCAAAAATAGATGAGCAACAAAAGAAGCTCTTGATCTTGATTCTTGGGATAACCTTTCCAAGATTTTGAGCTTCATTGGTGGCTCGAATCTCGGCGTGTTAGGATTCAAGAAAGAAAATGCTGAAAGGTATGTGTGATAAAACCTTTAGTTCTCTAAAAGGGGAGGAGGAACAAGACAAGGTATCGGTGAAACTGGAATCTTGCATAATTAAAGGCATCAAGCACACCTTTCAGGCCTACCTTTCAAACTCGATAAGCATTTTTTAGTCCTGACACGTCGAGATTCAAGACAGCACTGAAGTTCAAAATTTTGGAAAAGCTATCCCAAAAATTGAGATTGATTAACTACTTTTGGATCTTCCTCGGTGGGTTTGCGTGTCTTTAGGGCATCATCGGGTTGCTCTGGAGGAGCTTCGTTTTCATCGACCACAGTTTCGTCGACTTTTTGCTCCAAATTCGGAGGAGTTTCACCATGGACAGAATTAGGTTGTATTTGGGATTCGATGTTTGTGCACAACGAAACTGGATGGGGTGTGTAGGGGCAGAAGAGGATGAGAATTATTTTCACTAGCATCTTCAAAATTGCATAGTAGATAGAAGGGGACATTTAAGTTGATTGTTGAGGTACGGCTCTACATGCTTGTGTAATTCGTTACTAAGATCACTTTCACCGACGGGGGGGGGGGAGTGGGCACTGACATAGGAAACTATATGAGAGAAACAGGAAGGATAGTAACAAACTATATGCAAGCACCAAAACTAGCTCGATGGAACCAAAAAACAAACCCATTAACCATAATAAAGAGTGCTTTCTATCAGATTTTAACATTGGTGTGAAAATATCTTCCTCATTATAATGTGAGATTAATCAAGTTTGTTCAACTAATATCTTTCTTATGAATTACCATTACCCAGTAAAGATAAAAATGTGCAAATTACATCGACTTCCTCCTTAATGTACTTGATCAACTCTCATCTTGGACGTTTAGCTCCAAGAGGAAAGGATACTCGTTGAGGAGTATTTTGCTGCATATTATCTGTCTTCTGTTCTTGGGAAGGGTTTGGGCTAGGATCAATACCCTCTTCATCCTCTTCCATTTCTTCAACAGGTTGGCTAGTATGCTTCTTAAGAATTGCAAGCTGGTAGTTCGGGTTGATCAAAGTATCCTGCTCAGGAGGAAGTGGGACCGCAGGCCCAGCTATTGACTTTGGCAACGGGATTTTGTTCCTGTTCCTAGCCAACTCAAGTAGCACCTGAGAGTGGTTGATTAAAATTTGTCATGCACGCATCAAATCAAATCACAGATAGACACGCACATGCAATCTTTAGACAAGAAACATTAGATATACCCTTGAGCAGAGAGAAACTTATTTTACCATTAAATTTATAATACTGGTGACTCAGCAACAAAAGCTCATACCAAGCTTTGAGTACCTCGGTGGTTATGCCCAAATGGACTGACCCTGAGATTGAGGGTTCAAGCATTGGTATCTCCTTCCTTCTCTCGCCAACAAAAGCTCATAAAATTCAGTTAAAGATCAATTCCAAACAGTATGGACACCTGATGCAGTTCATAAGAAGCTTAAGCAAGAATCCATTCTCTTTCTTTTTTCTTTTGGACCATAAGAAAGAGTGAATTCAAGGGAGAGATTTCGGAATTTATCTTGATTCCAAAACAAAGCTCACTTGGGAACATCCTTGTTAGAATGCAGCTGGTCCATTTATTATATGATTCCCTATATTTTATGAGTCCAGGGCACTGTTATTTAAGGCGCAAGGCGCACTAAGGTGCAAGGCGCAGAGAGGCCTCATCGAAGTAAGGCGCAAGTTATAGATAACATGCAAATGATTTTTCAAAATATGACGTAACATCAAAAACACAAAATATAAGCAAATATTCAAAAACTGCAAACATTATAAAATATCCAAATTCCCAAATATTTCAAACAGAGGCTAACTTCAATAAACAGAGTCTCATTTCATAAACACATGCGTTTGTTGAAACCGACTTAATTTAGATAAACAAAACTTTTTATTACAGAGACAAAGCTCTTACTTCTCAACTTCCCAATTTAAGCAATGTCAATCCATATGAACTATGACCATAATAAAGCATTCAACCAACAATTTTCAGAAACCAGTTCAATTACTCATTAGAACAAAGCGATATCATTTATCAAAACAGCAAATCAATTAATTAAGTCCAAGAAAATAGGACAAGTATGACACTTGAATTCAGAGAAGAGGTGACTCTTAGCAGTTTCTTTTGGCATTGAGTTGGGTCAGATTAGATTTTATAATGTTTTCTGTATCACTCACAACCAACACATCTGCACAAAGATAATGACCTGCATGCATCTGGAAGAGAAAAAGACAAAACAAAAAATTTTCATTAAAGCACGCTTGATAGGCAACTTGGTCCTTGTGCATAAGTGCACTAGGCGTGCATTATTCATGTGGTCTTGCCTGGTTTTGGAAAGGCGCTACAGCTGGGACTTGCTGAACCTTGGGCATAGGCACAAGCTTAAGGGCACCTTTAACAACACTGGTCAAGGGAATTTCTGTAATTTTAAAAAATCTCTGGTCAAGGGCTTACTAGTGGTCTATGGGCCTTATTGTAATAGTATTCGGTTTGTTGGGTTTTAAACTTCAATTTACAGGTTTAGCACAAAAGTCCAGGTTTCCAAGTTGAGAATCCGTGCAATGCTTTGAACATAACAGATGTCATTTTTAGAGGATATTTCAGTAACTTTTAAAAGCTCTTTTAAGTTTATGTAATGTAACACAAACCTCAGTGCGTCAGGTTGTAATGCAACTCAAACTTAGGTATGATGCCCTTACTTTGTGCACTTTAAAACAATCAATCTTTAGAGAAAATTCAATATTTCCACTGATTCTCTTCAACAAAACTTCAAACTAGCCTTTTAATATTCAAACCCACCCCCCAAAAAATTATGCTGATAATATTCACCATACCATGAAAACTAACTCTAGAAATCCTAANCCTAAAAATACAACAATATTTTTACAAGTCTATGTAAAATTTTCTAGAAGTCTTATAAAAAAATCTAAAAATAACAATTTTTCTCAAATTACTTTCGCTCTATTTTCATCCATTCTCACCGTCTCTCTTCAAGTCTTTTTCTCCCTCTCACTCTGCTTTTTATTCTTATTTCTCTGTAAAATATCTAATAATTATAAACTTTTATTTTTATTATCTTCCTATCTAATAATTATAAATTTTTATTTTTATTATCTTCCTAAAATATTGTTTTGTTTTAAACCTTAATTTGTGTTGGGCCGTCTAACTATCTACTATGCAATTTTGAAGATGCTAGCGAAAATAATTCTCATCCTTTTCTCCATCCGCCCCTACACACCATTCTCCCTTTCGTTGTGCACAAAGACATCAAATCCCAAATGCAGCCCATTTCTGTCCAGAGTGAAGCTTTTTCGAATTCGGAGCAATGCGAAGCTTTTTCGAATTTGGAGCAATGCGAGTTGGTTGTTGAAGATGAAATGGTGAAAGATCTTTCAGAGGAACCTGATGATGCTTCAAAGACACGCAAACCCACCCAGGAAAATCCAAAAATAGATGAGCAACAAAAGAAGCTCTTGATCTTGATTCTTGGGATAACCTTTCCAAGATTTTGAGCTTCATTGGTGGCTCGAATCTCGGCGTGTTAGGATTCAAGAAAGAAAATGCTGAAAGGTATGTGTGATAAAACCTTTAGTTCTCTAAAAGGGGAGGAGGAACAAGACAAGGTATCGGTGAAACTGGAATCTTGCATAATTAAAGGCATCAAGCACACCTTTCAGGCCTACCTTTCAAACTCGATAAGCATTTTTTAGTCCTGACACGTCGAGATTCAAGACAGCACTGAAGTTCAAAATTTTGGAAATGCTATCCCAAAAATTGAGATTGATCATCTACTTTTGGATCTTCCTCGGTGGGTTTGCGTGTCTTTAGAGCATCATCGGGTTGCTCTGGAGGAGCTTCGTTTTCATCGACCACAGTTTCGTCGACTTTTTGCTCCAAATTCGGAGGAGTTTCACCATGGACAGAATTAGGTTGTATTTGGGATTCGATGTTTGTGCACAACGAAACTGGATGGGGTGTGTAGGGGCAGAAGAGGATGAGAATTATTTTCACTAGCATCTTCAAAATTGCATAGTAGATAGAAGGGGACATTTAAGTTGATTGTTGAGGTACGGCTCTACATGCTTGTGTAATTCGTTACTAAGATCACTTTCACCGACGGGGGGGGGGGAGTGGGCACTGACATAGGAAACTATATGAGAGAAACAGGAAGGATAGTAACAAACTATATGCAAGCACCAAAACTAGCTCGATGGAACCAAAAAACAAACCCATTAACCATAATAAAGAGTGCTTTCTATCAGATTTTAACATTGGTGTGAAAATATCTTCCTCATTATAATGTGAGATTAATCAAGTTTGTTCAACTAATATCTTTCTTATGAATTACCATTACCCAGTAAAGATAAAAATGTGCAAATTACATCGACTTCCTCCTTAATGTACTTGATCAACTCTCATCTTGGACGTTTAGCTCCAAGAGGAAAGGATACTCGTTGAGGAGTATTTTGCTGCATATTATCTGTCTTCTGTTCTTGGGAAGGGTTTGGGCTAGGATCAACACCCTCTTCATCCTCTTCCATTTCTTCAACAGGTTGGCTAGTATGCTTCTTAAGAATTGCAAGCTGGTAGTTCGGGTTGATCAAAGTATCCTGCTCAGGAGGAAGTGGGACCGCAGGCCCAGCTATTGACTTTGGCAACGGGATTTTGTTCCTGTTCCTAGCCAACTCAAGTAGCACCTGAGAGTGGTTGATTAAAATTTGTCATGCACGCATCAAATCAAATCACAGATAGACACGCACATGCAATCTTTAGACAAGAAACATTAGATATACCCTTGAGCAGAGAGAAACTTATTTTACCATTAAATTTATAATACTGGTGACTCAGCAACAAAAGCTCATACCAAGCTTTGAGTACCTCGGTGGTTATGCCCAAATGGACTGACCCTGAGATTGAGGGTTCAAGCATTGGTATCTCCTTCCTTCTCTCGCCAACAAAAGCTCATAAAATTCAGTTAAAGATCAATTCCAAACAGTATGGACACCTGATGCAGTTCATAAGAAGCTTAAGCAAGAATCCATTCTCTTTCTTTTTTCTTTTGGACCATAAGAAAGAGTGAATTCAAGGGAGAGATTTCGGAATTTATCTTGATTCCAAAACAAAGCTCACTTGGGAACATCCTTGTTAGAATGCAGCTGGTCCATTTATTATATGATTCCCTATATTTTATGAGTCCAGGGCACTGTTATTTAAGGCGCAAGGCGCACTAAGGTGCAAGGCGCAGAGAGGCCTCATCGAAGTAAGGTGCAAGTTATAGATAACATGCAAATGATTTTTCAAAATATGACGTAACATCAAAAACACAAAATATAAGAAAATATTCAAAAACTGCAAACATTATAAAATATCCAAATTCCCAAATATTTCAAACAGAGGCTAACTTCAATAAACAGAGTCTCATTTCATAAACACATGCGTTTGTTGAAACCGACTTAATTTAGATAAACAAAACTTTTTATTACAGAGACAAAGCTCTTACTTCTCAACTTCCCAATTTAAGCAATGTCAATCCATATGAACTATGACCATAATAAAGCATTCAACCAACAATTTTCAGAAACCAGTTCAATTACTCATTAGAACAAAGCGATATCATTTATCAAAACAGCAAATCAATTAATTAAGTCCAAGAAAATAGGACAAGTATGACACTTGAATTCAGAGAAGAGGTGACTCTTAGCAGTTTCTTTTGGCATTGAGTTGGGTCAGATTAGATTTTATAATGTTTTCTGTATCACTCACAACCAACACATCTGCACAAAGATAATGACCTGCATGCATCTGGAAGAGAAAAAGACAAAACAAAAAATTTTCATTAAAGCACGCTTGATAGGCAACTTGGTCCTTGTGCATAAGTGCACTAGGCGTGCATTATTCATGTGGTCTTGCCTGGTTTTGGAAAGGCGCTACAGCTGGGACTTGCTGAACCTTGGGCATAGGCACAAGCTTAAGGGCACCTTTAACAACACTGGTCAAGGGAATTTCTGTAATTTTAAAAAATCTCTGGTCAAGGGCTTACTAGTGGTCTATGGGCCTTATTGTAATAGTATTCGGTTTGTTGGGTTTTAAACTTCAATTTACAGGTTTAGCACAAAAGTCCAGGTTTCCAAGTTGAGAATCCGTGCAATGCTTTGAACATAACAGATGTCATTTTTAGAGGATATTTCAGTAACTTTTAAAAGCTCTTTTAAGTTTATGTAATGTAACACAAACCTCAGTGCGTCAGGTTGTAATGCAACTCAAACTTAGGTGTGATGCCCTTACTTTGTGCACTTTAAAACAATCAATCTTTAGAGAAAATTCAAGATTTCCACTGATTCTCTTCAACAAAACTTCAAACTAGCCTTTTAATATTCAAACCCACCCCCCAAAAAATTATGCTGATAATATTCACCATACCATGAAAACTAACTCTAGAAATCCTAACTCAAAGCACATTGCTTCCCACCCCATTTTAAGTGGGAAAGGGAGGGTAGTAAAGTGCATATCTCTAATTGGTAGCACATTCTGTCAGTAACCCTGCATTAGAAGTCGTATAATGCAGCTTTCTGCTCCGCCTGAATTCCATGAAATAGTCACCATTTCCAGTCTCTCATTTAAATCAAGTCCACACTTCAATCGAATGCTAAAATACACTTGCATTAGAACAAGTGGAAGTGAATCAATTACTATTTTAGTTCATACTGAAATTACCTTTCAAAACAAATAGAAATTCAGCATCAATAGTCAAGACAAATGACAATCCTCACATTGATTAACAAAAGCCTGAGGTAGATTATGTACCTCACGTGGTGGGGGTTGTGAGAAGCTGAAATTGACTTTCGATTGAATAGCAAGCTTGACATCGTCACAGTCGATTGCAGTCTTCCCAGCATGCTCTGAATAGACCTGTGCATCAGTCAATACATCAACAACGTACCGGTACCAAAGTTCTAGGAATTGGTGTACAACACGAGGTTCATAGTCATCGACACCCATTGATTTTAGTAGTGTCTTCACAATCTTTGCATCCCTTGGCAAGTCATCTTCTCCCTCGGCCATTTTCTTTACTGTACTCTTTCTATACTTTACTCTTTCTACTGTATCAAGAATCAAACTCCACAGTTGTTTGGGTGACTATTCAAAGCATATTGCAAATTTCAAGCCAATGATGATGTTTCTGACAAAGCATTCCTTGATTCCAGTTCAATCCTGTGCATATGAGCAAGGGATATAGAAATCCAATTTATGCATAAGTATTGCCACTAAAGGCATATGAAAATCCAAAACCCTAACCATATTTTTCACCAAAGAATTCACAAGGTAAACAGTTGGAGGTTAAACAAACTATTGTTTTGTTCCTCCCAAATGAAACAGAAAGAAGCACGGAGTAACAAAAAAATTAATATATTGTGCCTTCTTGTCTTTGCATCAAAAAAATAAAAATGTATACCTCATGCAATAAAATTGAATTAACTCAAAGAATACTATATTGCGAATGATCATCCAACCCAAGTAACNTATCCTCCGAAACTCGCACGGTCCTCCCAGCCCTCTCTCTCTATCTCTCGTCATTAGCGGTGGTTCTAAGGTAATTTGAGAATTAAAGCGAATATATTAAATGAGAATGTTTTTTTAATATTAATTTTTTTAAAAAAAATTATTTATTTTTAATTTATTATATAAGAGAAAGATAGAAGAAAAACGAGCTAGTATTGATGAAAAAAATATTTCATCTTTTGTTTTTAGTGTTTAATTTCAAATCATTAAATTTTAAACTCTAATATTCTAATACTTTGAATCTATTACCAAAACACAGTTATTTTGGAGCTTTAATACCAAAATACGATATTTTTTAATTTATTTATCAAACTATGACATATTTTAAAAATAGAGTCAATAATTCCATTTTTATTAAAAAACGTATTCAACAACCCCGTTTTGTTAATAAACGGAATTAACGATCCTATTTTTAAATAAAAAACGTGGTCCAACATAACGAGCTGAAACACGTTAAAAGTGTGATTATTAACCATGTTTTTTAAAAGGCGTGGATAGTAACCACGTTTTTCACGTGTTTCAACTGGGCCAATAACACTTGTACCTTTTTTTCACCTTTCTTTCGGCATGCCTTCACCTTCCTTAATGACAACCTGTATAATTCAGATCCACTGTACCTTTAATTTTTACATCTCTCCCTTCTTCTTTTAACCATCCTGAGAAACCTAGAAAAAATGGATACAATACAAGGCCATCACCAACATTGAAAAACAAGGCGTACACTAAGAAAACGGTGGAAGATAAAGAGGATGACTTGGAGGAGGAGGAAGACGAAGTTGTAGAAGAAGAAGATGATGACGAGGGTTTTGAGGGTCATGAGAGGAAAAAAATAAATCTTGTTGGTGGGTTTGGAAGAAAAGGGTCTACTGCTGGGGGTGGTGTCAGGTGAAAGAGCGTAAAAAACGTGTTTAATAAACACGTTGTTCACAAAAATTCGTATAAAATATGTTTACAAAATACGTTTTTTTTATTGCCTAAATTTTTTTTACTGTAGAGTTGTTAAATCTGCTTTTTAACAAAAACAAAATTATTGAATTCACTTTTAAAAATTACCTGATAAATAACTACAAAAATATTATATTTTGATATTAAATTTCTAAACAATTGTATTTTGATAATAAATCCCTAATCCTTTACTGCCAGATGTACTCACCTCAATTAAATAAATTTTCAGCTGACAGCCCCAAACTAAAGCCGTCAAAAGGCTGACCGGAGCTGATTGACTTCGGAATACTGCCTTTTATAGGCATGTGAAAGTTTACTCCCAGGGTCACACCCTCATCCCGGATCACATAGAATAAGTGACAGACCGATCATCAAAGTCTTAACAAAATAATTATATACATAATAAATATAANAAATCAGTGTGTATGAGAGAGAAAGAGAGAAAAGGCAGGCGGCGTGAATTAGGGCTTGAGGAGGGAGAGTCGGGTGAGTGATGGAGTCTGCAATGTAATCTAATAGATAGGCAGAATCTAAATTTTTACTTCAGAGAAATTTAGAACGACTTGAATCGACAAAAAGCACAAATTAAAATAAGCTGAGAAATCCCAAAATTATCATCACTCGTGGGATTAGGCGTTCAAATTTTTGATTGACCGTAATTTTTTATTTTATCCGATCCTACCTACCCTACCCTAACGATTAACCTAAAAAATTTAATAGAAATACGGAAGAATTTTTAATTTTTCGATTAAATCAGATAAGAATACAAAATATTCATCAATTTTTGTATTTTTATTCTACCCTACTTTATCCGCAAAAAATATCATTGTTGTGAATATTTGAGTTACTAAAACATATACTTATTTTTTGTGTAGGTTACATGATTTGTGGTGAACTAGTGATCTATTAGAGTAGTTATGATTTTAATGTGTTTCATATAGATTAAATTTTAAATAATTTTTATTGTATTTGTATAACAATTATAATGAATTGATGTTTATGTTTTCTTGCATTTTAATCGGGTAAGAAGTCGAAAAGAAATACCACACCTGATCAGGTTGGATAAAAAAAAAATTTTCCACAAAATATTAAGTAAGAATACGAAAAATTATATTTCGTACGGTAAGATGAACACCCCTATATGGGACCAACAAACCTCAAACTGGAAGCAAGCATTAGGGTTCTTCGACCAGATCCTGCTGGTTGTCGTTGATACAGCCGTCCGATCAACACTTTCACGAAAGAAGACCTAAGAGATGTCCACCGAATAACTTATTCAGTCATCGTTAGATTCAGCTGCTCAAATTCACCATGCCTAATTGCACGGTTCCCTCCTTTTCTTGTGGTTGTGGATGCTTGACTTTACAGACCAACTGCTTCCTCCCTCCTGCCCATTTCCTTTGAGCTGTGGCTTTCAAAGACTGAGCAAGGAAAAATTTGGACTACCCAAGAAAGACTACCTTTTCTGGATAATGGGCTGAATTTAGGCCCACTAAAGCCTGGAATGGGCTTATGCATTACCCACTTGCCATTGAACTGGGGCTAAAGCTCAATTTCGAGTTTACTGAAATATCCACACTAATTGTTCAAATTAACTTGTTCTCGTTATCCTCCGAAACTCGCACGGTCCTCCCAGCCCTCTCTCTCTATCTCTCGTCATTAGCGGTGGTTCTAAGGTAATTTGAGAATTAAAGCGAATATATTAAATGAGAATGTTTTTTTAATATTAATTTTTTTAAAAAAAATTATTTATTTTTAATTTATTATATAAGAGAAAGATAGAAGAAAAACGAGCTAGTATTGATGAAAAAAATATTTCATCTTTTGTTTTTAGTGTTTAATTTCAAATCATTAAATTTTAAACTCTAATATTCTAATACTTTGAATCTATTACCAAAACACAGTTATTTTGGAGTTTTAATACCAAAATACGATATTTTTTAACTTATTTATCAAACTATGACATATTTTAAAAATAGAGTCAATAATTCCATTTTTATTAAAAAACGTATTCAACAACCCCGCTTTGTTAATAAACGGAATTAACGATCCTATTTTTAAATAAAAAACGTGGTCCAACATAACGAGCTGAAACACGTTAAAAGTGTGATTATTAACCATGTTTTTTAAAAGGCGTGGATAGTAACCACGTTTTTCACGTGTTTCAACTGGGCCAATAACACTTGTACCTTTTTTTCACCTTTCTTTCGGCATGCCTTCACCTTCCTTAATGACAACCTGTATAATTCAGATCCACTGTACCTTTAATTTTTACATCTCTCCCTTCTTCTTTTAACCATCCTGAGAAACCTAGAAAAAATGGATACAATACAAGGCCATCACCAACATTGAAAAACAAGGCGTACACTAAGAAAACGGTGGAAGATAAAGAGGATGACTTGGAGGAGGAGGAAGACGAAGTTGTAGAAGAAGAAGATGATGACGAGGGTTTTGAGGGTCATGAGAGGAAAAAAATAAATCTTGTTGGTGGGTTTGGAAGAAAAGGGTCTACTGCTGGGGGTGGTGTCAGGTGAAAGAGCGTAAAAAACGTGTTTAATAAACACGTTGTTCACAAAAAATCGTATAAAATATGTTTACAAAATACGTTTTTTTTATTGCCTAAATTTTTTTTACTGTAGAGTTGTTAAATCCGCTTTTTAACAAAAACAAAATTATTGAATTCACTTTTAAAAATTACCTGATAAATAACTACAAAAATATTATATTTTGATATTAAAGTTTCTAAACAATTGTATTTTGATAATAAATCCCTAATCCTTTACTGCCAGATGTACTCACCACAATTAAATAAATTTTCAGCTGACAGCCTCAAACCAAAGCCGTCAAAAGGCTGACCGGAGCTGATTGACTTCGGAGTACCGCCTTTTATAGGCATGTGAAAGTTTAATCCCACTGTCACACTCTCATCCCGGATCACATAGAGTGAGTGACAGACCGATCATCAAAGTCTTAACAAAATAATTATATACATAATAAATATAAAATACAGTAAAAGATAAATAATAAAATAATTTATTTCACTGACCTAATGAATATTAGAGAAATAAATTATACACCATCAATATCATTATTAAACTCAAGTAAAACAATAATTAAACTATAAAGTTTATTACTTTAAATATAAGTAATATTGTTCTCAAAACAATTAAACATTTGTCTCAAAATCATAAAACATTTTTATTCCTGAAGACCTACAATAAAATAAATTTTCAATTTCTCTAATCCCTTGTCTATCTGTAGACTTACTCCTCACCCTGATTCTCTCTTGAAAAATGTTAAATGTTTGGATGAGCACAATGACTCATGAATAGCAACCACCTCTAATGAGATGTGAAAATAAATTCTATAATTTATATACAAAAAAAAACTTTATACATANGATTCATTTCACCGACCTAATGAATATTAGAGAAATAAATTATACACCACCAATATCATTATTAAACTCAAGTAAAACAATAATTAAACTATAAAGTTTATTACTCTAAATATAAGTAATACTGTTCTCAAAACAATTAAACATTTGTCTCAAAATCATAAAATATTTTTATTCTTGAAGACTTACAATAAAATAAATTTTCAATTTCTCTAATCCCTTGTCTATCTGTAGACTTACTCCTCACCCTGATCCTCTCTTGAAAAATGTTAAATGTTTGGATGAGCACAATGACTCATGAATAGCAACCACCTCTAATGAGATGTGAAAATAAATTATATAGTTTATATACAAAAAAAAACTTTATACATACACAAGTACAATAAATTGTACCCCAACCCATTTCACATAATCATTTAAACAAAATAATTTTATGATCACAAAAAAACTTTATAAATGAAAAAACATTCATAACCTAAAACACTCACACACACACATTCAAATCCAAATATATTTGTCAAATCATGTTTATTACTACTAGCTTGGTAACTGGTCCAATTTCTTGTTGCTACTAGCCTGGTAACTGGTTTAGTCTCTCTTGTTATTACTAGTCTGATGACTAACCCTGTCTTTTGTTATCACTAGTTTGATAAATGACTCAGTTTTTTAGCATCACTAGTCTAATGACTAATCTAGTCTCTTATTATCACTTAGACCTGATAACCCCAGTCTCCGTCTCATAAACATGATTTTCACACATGCCAAAATTGTAGTTTTACTTCCAACGTACATAAAATTTCTCTTTCATGACCAAAGTAATGATATAAAATCATCCCACAAGTTTTCAAAATTCACATGTATAACAGTTCATAATTACAAAATATTTAATTGTAACCCCAAATATCAACACATATATCATATATATGAAAAATTCACACGCACAAATTTAATATAGAAAAATCCTTTCAAAAGAAATAGTAAACTATTCACCTTAATTTTCAAAATCCAATTCAAAGCATTTTTTATCAACCTTAATACAATCACCACCTAATCCAAAATAACATATATCGACCAATCCATATTCCTAATTTCGTCATTTTACGATTCTATATTTATTTTACGTACTTCATACCCATTGATATATACTTTATATATCATTTACATAGAAATATCTTTTCTAACACGAGGTAATATGATATAGAAGTATTATGGGCTGTTTAAATTTTTTTTTTAAAGTTTTGAGGTCAAATCATAAATTTTAAAACTTTTGGAGTCAAAGTGTAATTTCTTTAAAAAATAAAATTTTTTGTTTTCGAGACTGTCATAAATTTTTCAAAATTCTATTCTTCCAATTTGCCAAGTAAAATAGTGGTTAAAATTAAATTTACAAAAATATAGAGGTCAAAGTAAAACTCTTTAAAACTAAAAGAGAGCTTTCTATAATTTCAAATTTCCTATGTTCTTCTTACTTACGACAAAACCTGAAACTTCCTTCTCCCCCTTTTTTTTTTGGTTATTTTTTCTCCTTAACATATTGATCAAATTCTACCAACTTAATTTCAACAAATTACTTCAAAATTAATATCTATAATGAAACTCATTTATCTATTTATTAATATTTTCACCATAAACANTACCCACTTGCCATTGAACTGGGGCTAAAGCTCAATTTCGAGTTTACTGAAATATCCACACTAATTGTTCAAATTAACTTGTTCTCGTTATCCTCCGAAACTCGCACGGTCCTCCCAGCCCTCTCTCTCTATCTCTCGTCATTAGCGGTGGTTCTAAGGTAATTTGAGAATTAAAGCGAATATATTAAATGAGAATGTTTTTTTAATATTAATTTTTTTAAAAAAAATTATTTATTTTTAATTTATTATATAAGAGAAAGATAGAAGAAAAACGAGCTAGTATTGATGAAAAAAATATTTCATCTTTTGTTTTTAGTGTTTAATTTCAAATCATTAAATTTTAAACTCTAATATTCTAATACTTTGAATCTATTACCAAAACACAGTTATTTTGGAGTTTTAATACCAAAATACGATATTTTTTAACTTATTTATCAAACTATGACATATTTTAAAAATAGAGTCAATAATTCCATTTTTATTAAAAAACGTATTCAACAACCCCGCTTTGTTAATAAACGGAATTAACGATCCTATTTTTAAATAAAAAACGTGGTCCAACATAACGAGCTGAAACACGTTAAAAGTGTGATTATTAACCATGTTTTTTAAAAGGCGTGGATAGTAACCACGTTTTTCACGTGTTTCAACTGGGCCAATAACACTTGTACCTTTTTTTCACCTTTCTTTCGGCATGCCTTCACCTTCCTTAATGACAACCTGTATAATTCAGATCCACTGTACCTTTAATTTTTACATCTCTCCCTTCTTCTTTTAACCATCCTGAGAAACCTAGAAAAAATGGATACAATACAAGGCCATCACCAACATTGAAAAACAAGGCGTACACTAAGAAAACGGTGGAAGATAAAGAGGATGACTTGGAGGAGGAGGAAGACGAAGTTGTAGAAGAAGAAGATGATGACGAGGGTTTTGAGGGTCATGAGAGGAAAAAAATAAATCTTGTTGGTGGGTTTGGAAGAAAAGGGTCTACTGCTGGGGGTGGTGTCAGGTGAAAGAGCGTAAAAAACGTGTTTAATAAACACGTTGTTCACAAAAAATCGTATAAAATATGTTTACAAAATACGTTTTTTTTATTGCCTAAATTTTTTTTACTGTAGAGTTGTTAAATCCGCTTTTTAACAAAAACAAAATTATTGAATTCACTTTTAAAAATTACCTGATAAATAACTACAAAAATATTATATTTTGATATTAAAGTTTCTAAACAATTGTATTTTGATAATAAATCCCTAATCCTTTACTGCCAGATGTACTCACCACAATTAAATAAATTTTCAGCTGACAGCCTCAAACCAAAGCCGTCAAAAGGCTGACCGGAGCTGATTGACTTCGGAGTACCGC